CAGTAATCTCGTGTGTGGGAAATTAACGTCTCCTGCCCCAACCCTGCAGTAGACGAGACCTCCATTTATTCGTCCCTATCCGAGAGGACTAGAATATCTAACCATTTCTTGATGTTATAGAAAGGTAGCAAATTCTTCTCAATTATTTTAAGACCTTGAGTGTTGGTCCGGCCAACTTTACACATTACTCTCACAGTGCCTCTCTTCACCCAGGAGAATTTGATGGGTTACCGGCGAATTTAATGCCGGGGGTAACTCTGCGATGGACTAGCATCCCATCCATACTCCTGCTGGCCGCTTCATGCTATGGAAACCGGAGTTAAGCGCCGGCCTGATGGGCCACATGGCTCGTAAGTAGGCTTTACCCTTTTACCTTTCTTGAGACTGGTCATTAAATATGGCAGATTATGCGTAATTTAGAAGAAGCGTAAATGTGCACTTGCCCCTTTGACTTGACTGAGAGAGCATGGGACTTACCCGAAAAAAATTGTAGGGCTATGAGAAAATTCTTCCCTTCCCTTTCTTTACCTTCTCTTATTTTTTCTCCCTTTTTATCTAATCTCACTTTATTTCTACCAAAGTGATTAAACGAGTACCATGTTGAAAAACAATTTGACCACGATGTGATCTTTCAAACCAACTTATAGCGATACTCGCTCAAAACAATCTCGTCGTAATCATAGTGTCACAAGCATTCCAACTGGTGGTTGCTGGTGACAAAAAGAAATTTCTCATTTCCGGCTTCAAAAGATTCAGCCCTGCGTTGAAACGTGGAAAATTATTTCCCTTTTTATTCGGCACAGATTTCCTTTGCAATATTCTATAATTATTTGCAAGTGTTCTTAAACATCGCTAGGGAAGAAAGAAATTTTGAAAGGAAGAGTAACGAAAGAATTTCGCGGTTTTACAGCTGATCATGGCAAGGATCGTAAAGCCAGTTCAATTCTGAAATTTTTTATCATATCTGATCATGGCAAGGATCGTAAAGCCGGTTCAATTCTGAAATTTTTTATCGCAGTGGTACGTAAACAATATTCAAGTGATGTTAAACTACTAAAACCCATGGATTCAGGAATTGAAACAAACGATAGTACAAATGACAATGATAAAGCGGTTTTAAAGGTAAGATCACTACACTAATGGTGAACTATTTGAAAGTGTTCTACCTGGGTGAGAACAGTACCAAAGCCTCATTTAAACCGACAGTATAATCCTTCTTAATCTCAACTATTCACCGATGTCACAAGATTTAATGTTTCCCATTTGTCTCCCGACGATGTTGTATGGGTTGGAAGAAATAAGTGACAGCCTCAGACCAGTGGGCGGGTAACTTGTTCTATCTTAGTTATAAATCATCTAGGCGGGGTAATAGATGAATTTGGACTAGTTATCTGGTAATTTTATTTTACACATTTACCAGAATAACGGTAAAGAATCCCGAATAGCATTATAATTCTGCAAAAGCACTTTTTCCGGGAATTACTTTTATATACAGCCGACGTTATCTACGAAATTATACCGATGGCAATCTATAAGCGAGTACCCGTTGCAAAAAGGACACACAAGCAGTGCCAGTCTGCCTAATATTCGTGGCATTTACAAACCCATGTTCTCTACTTGTTTGATAAGTTGAATGCTCTTCACAGGAAAAGCCGCTAAACATACTTGTATATCGTAGTTTAGAATCCGCTAGATGTTAGAGATGTTTACCAATTTTAGGATTAAAAAAAAGGGATGTATTTATTGCAAGTTTCGATTTGCACTGGTCGCTCACTGCGACATGTTGAAAATTTGCGAATTTGGTCAGTTTTTTCTGACTGTCTCCATTCCATTTCCCTCCTTGGCAATTCGGGTTAAGTCTAGCTCTTTAACTGTGAGTTAAAACTTCGTTTTTGTGTTACAGTCAGATTAAGTTTAGATTACCGTGTAGCATATATTCACGAAAGATATTTAACCGCCAAATGAGCAATTCGAATTAATTCAACGAACTCGTAGCTAGTCTGAAGGTAATTCCTTTTTTTCCCCCCTCCAAAAGTTTTGAGAAAATTTTTTAACAATTGATGGAAAAATTCAACCTAAATTAGCTGCCTGTTTTTCAGGTAACACATATTATTATTAGACAAATATCTCCAGTAGGCATCTGATCGCGTAACCCCTGCATTTAGCTGAGGGTGTTAGCGCGCGCTCAAAATTTCAAGTGCGCAAAACATGTGCGCTCACATCACACAATGACGGTTATACGTGCAATCTTTACGAGCCAATCACATTGCTGTATTAGCAGGTATCTTAGCAGTCCGTTGTAAAAACATGCTTTGAAATAAATAGTTTTTCCCTCAAGAGAACGCACAGCTTAAACGAATCCCCGCAGTGAAGACTTGATATATGTAATTGTGTTAAAATGTCAACGTTAACAACAAATTATGTTCAGCAGCCTGCAGTTTATAGAGGAGCTGTGGATCGATCATCGGTGAAGAAATCAAGAACAGCTAAAGACATCCCATTACCGGAAGTACCAAAAGTCATCGACAACGGAAATGGGAAACGCTACTTTCGCGGAAGATTGCTCGGCAAGGTAAGTTATGTTAAGTGAAAATCATCTTGCTCATAAAAAAGCCAGATCTGCTTTGCTTTCAACAAAATAAGAACAGATTAGAACAGGCCTTCGGTATATTGACGCAACACCTTAATCGACGATACTCTCCAACATAGCTCCGCTACTTAGCAATCTGTAAAATTTAAAAATTTGACGCATAACTCTGCCTGATTTGCGCAGGAACTAAGCTGAGCTAAAACCGTGACAGTAACTTAGAGATTCCTTAAATGAACACTTTAAACTGCCTTATGGTAGATTCGATATTTTATTTACTTCTATTTGAAATTCGTAATCTGCAACTGTAATTTATCTCTCCGCCCATTTACGGTCGATGTTTGTTAGCAATTTCCATCAATACCAGTGCTCAGTTTTCAGATACGTAGTCCAGGCTACAAATTTCGTTACGGATTGTCAATGCAGCCATAATCTCGTGTCCTTGTTTTTCAAAGACAACTGTTTTGCTATGCAGTACAAAATAACCCCATTTCCAGATTGACCACATCTGCACAATCGCTTCACTTTTGCCTAACAACTGGAAAATTGACACATTAGTCATCGTAATGCAAATCGATTTCTGCCTAAAGAACGCTCTTAGAGTGATCAAAATGTTTTCAAAGAGTTCATAGCGTACAGACTTAGAATGTTTTGAACTTTAAGATATATATACCGCTTCTCGAGGAGTAAAAACATAGACACCAACGATTGATTCGACTGTTTTAAAGTGCTCCCCTGAAATCATTAAGTTTTCGTAACTCAATTTTAAATAAGATTTATATTAAGATAAAACTGAATCTCATGGCATTATATTCTTTTGTATTCTCAGGGTGGGTTCGCTCGTGTTTATGAAGTCACTGATATGTCAACAAACAAGTTGTATGCCCTGAAAGCCGTACCAAAGGCTAAACTCACAAAGTCTGCGGACAAATATAACAAAGTGAGTGAACACGTCTATCAATATCTAGTTGAAGTATCTGGACCAAAAAGTTATCTTTCTGGCTGTAGATTAAGTTGTTGTGAAGAACAGGACAGAACATGCACTTTCTTTGTCACTAACAAATGAACATTTACCTCATTGTATACTGAATTGCAACACCTGGTGAATTTATGATTTCATTTTTTTTTATCCCCAATTCTTTGGCGGAAAATGGCCTCCGCCCTTTTTCGTTTGTTTCCTTGAAATTGGTTTACATGTATAAAAAAAATGCCCAGCTATTTCTCGACAAGTTATAATGGTTTTTCCAACAATCAAGTTACCACAGCAACACTACAACCTATTAAAAACACCCTTAATTTTTTTATCCTACGATAGAGATTTGGGCGACTACCCTCACCAGATATGAACCAAAGATGAAATTACAACAACGCCAAGGACAAGTGACTTAATAGTTTATGACAATTAAAATGTATTTTGCAGATAGAAACAGAAATTGAACTTCACAAGAGTCTCAGGCAAAGACACGTGGTTGGTTTTCATGGACATTTTGATGATGATCAATATGTATACATACTGCTGGAGCTTTGCAGCCGAAAGGTGATTATGAATTATTCTCATCAGTGAAAAGCATTTTCCAGCCTGAGATCCCTGAGTACGAAGAGGTTTACTCCTAGCTAAACATAGTATAACTTATGCAACCTCGTTCCTAGGGCCTTTTCCGTAGACCCTGGAACGATGTTGTAACATGGGAAACATAATCAAAACACGATGGACTAATTCTTCCTAGTTTGGATTTACTTAGTGCAAGGTTCACACATGACATTGAGAAGGATGCATATATTTTTCCTGAGCAACTAGCCTATTATCCGGGTTAGCACTTTATAAAGAGAGATAAAGTGCCCTCACAAAAACCTGACGATTCTATCGTAAACTCTTTGTCAGAGCGAACTGTGGAGCTGCCTTTATCAAAATTTAGTTTATTATCATCCAAGAAGTTTACCTGCCTACGACGGAGTAGAAAAGTTTTCCCACAGATTGATGATTTTCCCATGAGCATTTTGCAGAGGATGCCTCATTCCCATGATTAGCGTTAAACTACTGTCTCTATTCCTTTAAATGACACGATGCTCTGGTTGTTAGCACCTCCTTCAATATTTTCAAATGTTTCTTTTTTTCTTTTCTTTGCCTTATTATTTCAGCCAATCAGCCTGACAACATTAGGCTGAATAATAGTTAAACATTTATTCCTCCTTTTGTTTTGATATCTTTTTTCTTGCAGTCTTTAGTACAGACACTCAAAAACCGTGGAAAATTAACAGAACCTGAAGTGCGTAATCTTATGTACCAAGCCGTGCAGGCATGTTCATATTTGCACGCCCAACGGGTCATACATCGTGACATCAAAGTCGGTAACTTCTTTCTCAATGCTGACATGGAACTGAGGCTTGGAGATTTTGGCTTGGCAGTGAGACTGAAGGAAGGAGAGAATAAAATAAAGTAAGTAAAAGAATCCTAGCAAAAAATAGGCTCCAAACCTGAATAATCCCAAATGGTGTTCTAAGTTCTGAACGAAAAAAATCTCGTGATCAGAAGAAACGACCAAAACTTCTGGCGCACACGTTACGTACTCAAGAGTATCTTTTGCCCTACACACGTGTACGTGTGTGGAGACACGCTACCTTCCTGCGAGTATATAAATGCTCTGAATTGTAAGCCATAGTTTAAAAAAAGGTTTCCTAGGCTTCAGCTAGGGCACAAACTTTTAAGACTCTTTATTCTGGCAGGACTGAGTCAGTGCGAGAAAAGACTGCTCATGTAATCATTCTGCGCTTCTCGTCACTCGGATTTCCTTGTATCACATGCCATGTTGTGGGCTCCCTTGCTTTGAGGCTGAGTGATAGAAATTTCTTCAATTTGCAAAACAACAATGTTGTGCAATAAAATGCAAAGAAATGACCCCAGTATTACTTTGCTTTAACGTATCACATTATCATTTCACAAAGTACTAATACGTGAGACTATTCTCGGCAGTTCCTCTTTTAGTGTTCCTATCGACCATAGGAATGATTAACTGAATTAAATACGCGGTAGTAATAATAACCTTTATTTTAAAAGGGGGACACCAATTACTTTTGAAAGTTTTCTCCCTAGTGGCCCTCTAAAACACCCACCCATCCCACCCCAGGGGAGGACATCCATCACACAGTAATCTCGTGTGTGGGAAATTAACGTCTCCNAGTTGGTCCGGTCGGGGCTCGAACCCTCCAACTCCCGCACAACAGTCCAGCGTTCTATCCATTGAGCTAACTGGGAGGCGGTCTGATCTTTTGTTGGAAAAAGCTTGTCCGGGTAATTCGTTCCAATGCACGTCATCATCTTTTTGTTTTTGTTTTTCAGAACAATGTGTGGTACACCAAACTATATTGCCCCTGAAGTCTTGTCTAAAGAAGGACACAGCTACGAGGTTGACACCTGGGCTTTGGGTTGTGTTATGTAAGTCTTCGGGAAAAGTACCCGTAGTCTAAGATTCAGTGTTTCTTGTTGCATTTCTCAACGTCAAATGATGCAATGTTTACATGATGGGAAGTTAAAGAAATAATCAAAGTGCCAGTAGTAGACGAAGAACTTTTAAAAATTTGATGCACTTAACATGGAATTTGGGTTTGGATATTGGATTTGTGTCACTCGTCATAAGAAGTAAATCTTATGGCTATTTATCAAATTTTTTTCGTTGTCAGGAAAATATGTCGATGGAGTATTTCACAGGCTGGCGCGTGTCAATCGTAAAATGTCTCACTTTTTTAGTTGTTGGAGATAATCAGATTCAAAAGGTCTATATAATGGAGGTACTTACTGATTCAGTCCAAATATTTATCGGGTGAAGGGTGTTATCTTGACTCATTCTTCTTTTTAATACAGGTACACATTATTGATTGGACATCCACCCTTTGAAACGAAGTCTCTAAAGGAAACATACAACCGAATACGGAACAACGAATACACGATTCCGGCTCGTATCTCCGACAGCGCGGCGAAACTCATTCGGAAAATGCTTCAAGCGAACCCCGCCAACAGGCCCTCTCTAAACGACATTCTCTCTGACGAATTTTTCAAGAAGGGTTTTTTTCCCAACAGACTTCCTGCATCGGTAGTTACAACTTCTCCAAGATGGTCGGAATACGAAAGGACACGAGAGTCTAGCCAGAAGATATCAAAAGATGCGATCAAGAAAATAACATTGGCTTTGTCGCACCAAATGAAACTTTCTACGGACGAGAAAGAAGAGTCACTTGAAAAAGATTTTAATGAAGTGGAAAGAAAAGGAGAAAAAAGCAGTGTAGCTCCTAGTAGTGAAAAAGAAAGTGAGTTGAGTGGAAATCATGAAACTAGCTGTGCCCGAGACATAGGACAAGAAGGTAAAATTTTGTAAAAATTATGTCCTCAGTTTCCTATGGAACTTACAACGAGAATCTGTCTACTGACATGAGTGTCTGGGGTGCCCAGTCATTTCCTTAATTCTCATCACCTTGTTGTTAGATTCAGTTGTTATACTGTTGGGGGAAATAAGATGATTATCGTAGAGGTTCAAGAATTAAACGCAAGCCAGGTGGATGAAGTCGAGATTTTCTGGAAATGTCGTTGCTTTCCTCGTTTTCGTTTTTCTTGAAGAATGAAATGCCGAACATTGTTATTTGAGAAACGGCAGAATTTTGAACCGAGCTTTAATTTCATCTCCTTTCATGCATCTTGTCGGAATCCCTTTGATTTTTAAGGTAATTTGGTTTTATCAACTGAGTTGAAAATGTAAATTGTCCACCTTGAAGTGTTTAACAACTGACGTTTCGAGCGTTAACCCTTCCTCCATTTGCTCTGACGAAGGGCTAACGCTCGAAACGTCAGCTTTTAAACTCTTTACGGTGGCCAATTTACATTTTGAACTCATCTGCTACACCAAATTACCTTGTTCCCCCCACTGACGCAGCGCCATAGTTTCTTTAGAAACTCACCCTCTTTATTCGTTTGGTTTTTATTTTAACAAGGTCGAAATGAAACTTTTTCGTGTTTACTAGCAATCGTAATCAGTCGTACAAATAATACCTCAGCGGTCACCTGACTCAAGTGAAAAGCTTTGTTTGTGCTTACAAAAATAAGTAATGATAGGGAGGGTTCTCGGTGATCAAGAATTTTGTAGGTAAGATTTATATTCAGGTTCTTAGGGCAGAGAAGGCCAAAATACTTTCCTCCCGAAGAATTGATGTCCAAACTTTCAAGCTTCCTGGAATGCCTCGAAGAACGCCCGCAAAAGACTTCAGCTGGAAAATCTTCAGGACCCTGTGCGAAAAGGCCCCCTCCAAACTCATCAGAGAACGTGCGAAAATCAGGGGGGACGTTACCCTCTGCTACTCCTAGGTCCTTGCTGGTTACTAAATGGGTAGATTACAGTAACAAGTATGGATTTGGAGCCCAGATGTCAGATGGAAGTGTGACTGTTAGGTTCAATGACTGCAGTAAGATAACAATCTCTCCTAACAAAAGGTGAGATATAATCTGAAATATTCTAACAACTTCCATTCGATTGTATTCGAGTCGGTCGAGAGATAAGTGATTTGGCAAGCCAATACTAAGTAAGTCCGTCGGTTAGTCAGCCGGTGAGTGGTCGGTATGTCAGTAAATCAGCCGGTCAGTCGGTCAGTTAGCCAGTCAGTCGGTAAGTCAGCCAGCCACTCAATCAGGGAATCAGTTAGTCAGTCAGTCAGTCAGTCAGTCAGT